AGGTAAAATGTTTAATATACGCGGTAAAAAAGTATACGCTTTCACCACGTGAATGTTTATATCGGGCGTACTACATACATGGAAAAGTTCCAAGATGAGCATATAGCTCCAAGAGAATTGCAGTTCCGAGAACCCGCGATGATAATTCATACCAAACGATTGTTAGAGTTTGCTCTTCAAATTACCCGTGAATCTCGCGCGCGACAGTCGCAATATTAATCCTGCAAATACCATCGAACTCGAGTGACCAGTTGAAAGTGGTTTGGAGATACAATATTTATTCCCGTGGTAAGATATAATATTGTCTCACCTTGATACCGTAAATTGTGTTAGTTACTACCGTTTTCTCCACGTTGAGGCTTGAGATGGAAGAAGCATTCACTCAAGAATTGTTTGATAAATATTTCTTTTTTCAAGCGCCAACTAAACGGTGATAATTCATTTGTAACATCAGAGGACAATAGCCTGCATGTCTCGCGATTTTCCATTGATTTCTCATGTTCGACGGTGTTTGCAGGGTTAACGTAGAATTAAAATTTCATCTCAGGATGTTACGTATATTTTCTAAATTCTTTTGAAGCAACACGAATCGGATCGAAATAACGCATGCAAGTTGACACACTACTCTTTCAAACTATATGATAATTTCAGAGCACGTCGTAATAATTTGATAATCTGTAATTTGTTGCTACTGTCGCTCTCATCGCACATGCAATATTGACAAACGAAATTGAATTTCGAACGGAATTTCGATTACGACTGTGCTTAATCAAACTGAGTTTATTAATGCGAAGAAAATATATCGTTTAACAATATCAAATATGAGGGAGAAAACGATATTTAATCGGAATAAGCTCGAAGTATAACGTGCGATTTGTTATGTGCGTGCGTATGTGTATACTTGTTAGTAAATACAAACGACTGTAATCACGAGGCTCAACTGATAAAGCTTTCGTTAGTTCGTTGGAGAAAAGTGGAATTTTTTAGCTAGAATAATGAACACGGCGGTAATCAAAGAGGTTTTCGATGCGTGGATATAATGCAGGCGCTGTACCCTTTTTTGCGCTTCCTTCCCATCTCTCTTTTAGACTCCCATTGTTAAAACAACTGAATCGAACAGTCCAGTTTCAACGGAAATACGTGACGTAAAAGAGGTCCGGTCGCCCAGGCGAATTGCTGTGTTTAGTTTTTCAACTTTTCCAGGCACAATTTCGCCCTCGTACTGCTCTCCTACCAATATTTGCTCGACATCGCGAGCCGTTCGGTAAGCCGTCGAGCACTTGGCCATCTTCAACGACCATTCCACGACATCGCGGGATATTTTCGGACAACGTCCTGCGTTAATACCTTATCCGGACAAACTGTTATTTTTTCCGTAAAATTACTATATCGAGGATTGATGTGTGCCATCGAAAATAAATTAAAATTTTGCTAACGGAGAAAAAATAATTGAAAAGAATTTCCATCAAGCTTCGGTCGTGTAAAATATGTGAACGAATAAATTAATAATAACCCGACGAATCGTTGATCGGAATATCGATACAAAGCGGCAGCAATGAATAATAAATTGTCATACATTTGATTAATTTCTCGTGGCACAAAACTTCAAACGCTTTTATCACGGTCGTGAAAGGCGAGATATTATGAAAAAAGGTAGCTGAATTTCAATACATTGAGTATCTCGTTTTCTCGGGGGATATTTTTGCGAATTCTTTTGTTCACTTCAAAATGAGACATCGTTGTCTTAAATAGCCGAATATAAATAGCGCGGCGACGACGAAAGGAAGATCAATTTGAAAATTGCGAGATTGCAAGAACACGGACTTTTGCAATGAAGATTCGCTGCTCGTGACTGACTCGACGCCGCCACGTGATAACGCGCATCGTAATGGTATTGCTTGTCCTTCGTCACTGTCGCCTAATAATTGATTAAGATAAAGTCTCTCGAGTCCCGAACACCTGTGTGTTTAAGCGCACCAAAGCGTCAGCCTAATTGTAATCGCGATTAGCAATTATGCGTTTACTTTGGCGACCCATCCCGCTTCCCATAATCCACGGAGGGAGTTTTCCGTTGGGATTTGCCTGAAAGCTCGTAGGGGATTTCAAATGAATTGCGATGCAACACGTGTATGCGCGCGCGCGTTCTGTCGTGCTCACCCCCGTCGTCGTTCGAACGATAAATAATTTTATTTTTTATGCATCCTCTGCTCGAAATAACCAACATTACTTTGTTTCGCATTCCGGCTTTGTTCGAGCATTCCGCTAATTTGTTAATAGCGAGAAAACCCAGATTTTGCTAAATCATCTGCGTTTTCGCGAAGAATCGATATTATTCGTTTAATTTGTAAAATAATAAAATTAAATAACAGACGCATCTTTCGAACGGTCAATTCGTTTGCTTGAGCAGGCGCATTAAGGATTATTAAAAAATATTAACTGAGACGCGCTATCTCTCTCTCTTTCTCTTTCTCTCTCTCTTACTTTCTACATATATATGTATACATGTATATATATGTATATATGTGTGTGTCTCTGGAATCGCTTCATTAATTGCTTAAAGTTTAAAATAAAAAAAGAACTCTTTGGTCTGGAGTTTAATCTTTGTATACGTGAAGGTTGAAAAAGTGCACATACGAGTAAAAATAACGATGTTTTCCTACCAGCGATATCGTCGTACGCATATTTCACATTCGTGTCAATTTTATTGCGAGTTTCATGATGCACGAAAAGCCGAGCGAAAAACTACTTTCAAATGGCGAGAACTCTGTGATTCGCGACCCTTATGCTAGGAATTATTGATTAAAAAACACATACACACATACACAAAGCGCAAAGGAAAGGGCAACAAATCCCACGGTTGCGGGGTTTACCATAGCTCCCGCGTTTTATCGGAATATTTAGCGGCGTTGTCGCGCCACGTTGCGTATTATCGAACCGTAAAGCCGGAATTTCGAATTACAAGCGCGAACGAGTCGGCCGTACGTTCGTTTTCGTCCACTCTTTCGCAAGCGGTAAAAGCGAATATCGACTTTACAGGACATGAGATTAATCGCCGCTCTGTTATCTCGTCCGCTCAGTTACGTTCCGATCCGCTTTCGGCTCATCGCCGAAACGCATGTTGGTTTCAAAACCCATCAGCGTTTCATTCTCTTCCTTCCCCCGGGCGTTGGACCACCGTAGTCTTGCGTTCCTCCGTCCCTTACTTCGAAAATAAACTTCCCTTCGAATAACATCTTCGGTTCGGGAACGGAGAATTTCGCATGAAAGCAAATTCTATATTACACGACGAGTTATTTACGCGGGAAACGAAAGAGGGAGAGAAAAATGTTGAATCTTCGTGCATTTTCGCAACATTTCTTCCACGTAACTCGGAGCGCCGGCGGATTCCTCGTAAATACAGTATGCTATAATTGTGCATTCTTCGTGTACATGTATTCGAGTTTTTTTTATGGCACGGAGCGCCTCTTCGTGAGCTGAATTCAATCAAGAAACGTCGTTTCTTCGTCGCTCCTTGATTTCGCAATTTTTACGAATTTAAAATGCGTAAAGTATTTTATGTATTATATCGGATCAGGTCAAAAATTCGGCTCGATTTTTGGCCAAATTTAACTTTATTACGTTCGATAGAAACATATTATTTATCGACTAAATAATTGCCGTCGTCGTCTATGACCGTCTGCCGTTTCGATAGCAAAATGTTGATAGCAGTATTGATGTATTATATGTGTATTATGTAACACTATTTCTTGAGCAATTTATTAGAAATTAAATCGAACTTTTTAACCGATCCGGTACTATATATACATTATGAATGTTTTTATTTATACCATATCATAAAACAGTTTAATATAACAAACGTAAATTGTAACATAATTTCAAGAAAATCGAATACTTGTTCTGATGTGTAGTTTTAACGAATTCGCTTCGGCCTTACTTTATCTTTGCACGAAATTATCTCACAACGAAATTGTACAGATAATTAGTAAGCAGACGAGCGAGATTTTGTATTAGCGTCGCACAATTTGTCATTATCACGACGTTTGACAGCCATAATTAGTTTAGAACAAACACTAACCCGATAAACACGGTCGCACGTGTGCGTGCGATTAAGCGGCCGTTCCTGATTACGAACGCTGACTTCCTAATTCGAGATTGTTTCCGCGGATGCTATTAGACGTTAGGATAATCGGAAATTACACCTCCCACGTTACACCCGTTGATATTACATCATTACGTGCCAGATATCGGCTTGGAGGATTTCGAGTAAATCTCATTGCTTCATAACATCGTGGACACTTAAGTAAGCATAACTGATATCAAACCGACGATAAAATGATATTGATCAATTTGAAGAAAGTCACGGGGGTAATTTTCTTTACTTTACGATACATGCGCTATTTTCCTTTCTTATCATTACTTTGGCATAACGCGATCGCGTGTGAAATTTTTTATTAAACGCAGAGAAGATCGTTCCTTTCAGCGAAGAAAAATTATCGCGCGTTTTCAGGGTTGCACTACTGTATGTAAAATAATGTTTTATATTAAGAATACTTGTATAATGCGCAGTTTTTAAATATCTATCCGTATTTTTATATTGTTAATATTTTTATCGAGCGCTAAAGGAACATTTCGCAATGGATAAAATATTAATTAATTTAAAAAATTACCGGAAACTGTAATTTGATTTCGTATTTCAGTGGGACGCTTCGCATTCGAATACGAAACTGTAGGTGGAGCGTAATGGCGGAAAAAAGAGAGCGAAAAACATTTTTTTCGCAGTCTAATAATTCCATTTTTCTGCTGTCTGTCGCTACAAAATAAAGCAAGTGCGGTGGTTTTCGCGCCAGGCAGATTTCAACAGTCGCGCCTTTTTCCGCAACGTCTCCTCCCGCCGAATCTCGTATATATACATACATATATACATATATATATGTACAGTTGGTAATCGAATATAAATATAACGAGGGCGCGGACATGAAGGTTTATTTATTATTTCTTACCTTATGTTATCCTCGTCAACAAACAATATGACCCCCCTGGCGTTGTGCTTCGAGCTCAGACGGTCGATTATCCTGTCGAAGTCCTCGGTCCTCGCGTTCCGAAGGATCTTCTCACTAACTGCGACGCAGATGTTGTATTCCGCCGAGAGCCCGATGAAGCTGGCGATGCCCTGAAAATAGAATTCCAGCCGCAAATAAATTGCCCGTCCGGTGAATCGAACAATGTGGCGATTCTGTTTTCTCGGCAAACAGTTGCGCCGTAACTGAAAAAATACGTAGTACTCCAGGTGCAGCTGCTAATTCGTATTTACATACGCATTTATCGCGCATGACAAGCCCTTTATATTTGCGCTTGATTAATAACGATCGTTAAGTAGCTAACCGTGGTTTTCGTGATTGCTTCGGGAAAAATGACAACGACGAAGTCTTCGAAGATGCTTTCCTTCCTATCGACTTGAGATCGATCGGAAATAGACGGTCACATCGGCTCTTGTGATTTTCAATCGGAAAAGTCGAGAAGCAACCGGCCGACGAGAACCTTATCGTAGTTGTTAACGTGTAAATTCCGTCGTGTGACACCATGCGCGCGTATCTTCCGCTCAAAAAGTGCCCGGAATTGTTAAGTAAAACACACAAATTGATATTTAATCGGAATATAAATTTCTTTTGTCCCCTTCGAAATAGTCCCTATTCCGATTTCAACCGTTTCACTCGAACAGACAATTCCGGATACTTTTTTGAGCAGAAGATATCTCACCGAACGGTCATATAATTACGAACCTCTTCCGCGGCCGAAAACTGTACAATACGGGATCGTGATTGGTCCGTGTATATTTATCAGAGCTATTTCATATCCGCGTATCGGTAGTCAAATTTCCGAAATCTCGAAATCCAGACTCGATTCGCGTTTACGATAATGTTCTCCAACGCGCGCAATCTGATATCGTGTTTTAGGCAATTCCAAATTGCGTTTCCGTCGAATCAAGTTGAATTCGATATCGTAACGGACGAAATTTGAGATTTAATTAGCAGCGTGCTCAACAGTATCGTGCATAAACACACGTTCTGGAATCGTCGTTGTTATTGAACAAGTCGGCAATGGAAATCCAAATAAATCATTTGTCGCGCACGCCACACAATACACGTATACGCACTCACACACACACACACGCGCGCGCGCGATAAATATATATCGACGCGACTCGTGTGTCTTTGCGCGTTCGCGTTTCGTGATATATTTCTGCACTTGGAGGTTCCGCGCACGGAAGTCGCACGCGGGACGAAAAGACGGCAGCGGAAAGGAGACGCGGAATGCGCCGTTGCACGCGCCGTCGCAGGTGTGGTGTATTTCACAGCGTAATAAAAAATCGCTCGCGATTCGTCACAATGGCGCGCAGAATGGAAAACTTATTTTCCCCTCGTACCTTTTCTGATTTCGAGCATGCCATGAATATCGTATGACACGGGACGAGCTTCCCGTATTCGCGCAATTTTGTATTGTCGGGCGAATTTGAATATGCATCGGTAATAAATACCGTGTTCTGATTGGGTGCGCAATGGAAGACCGATTATTCAAATATCGCGATAATCCGATTTTTTGTCTACCGGCATCGCCGTCGTGCGAATGGATTTTACCGGAGTGCCGTCTCTTTCCCGTCCCTTAATCGTCGCCATCGAATATCTTACAGCGCGATTAAACTGCGACGAAAATTCAATCTTCACCCTTGACGCATTTTATTTGGTCGAATTGAATTGTCTGATTTGTATTGCTGGACGCAGGACGACCGACGGAACTTTTATCCTTTTCATAATTCTCGAAGACAATTTCCCATGGGATTAGGACGCTTTCTTACGCCGTTCTATTGTAAGAACTGCCACGTAAGAGACCGGAAATTGGTAAGGTCTCCCAACAATCACTAGGGAATAAAAGCTCACGATTCGGTTAGAGCAACGTCCACGGCGTAATTTGTCGCCCCTGCTATTCACTTACAACATCCCGCACGCTGAGTTCGTGAAAATCCCCTCGTTCCCGATAACTCGCTAATCTCGAAAACATCTCGGCAATTTTACAGAAGGAAAACAAATAATCTAGCTTATAAAACGGAAATATGATTGTCCACGAGAAACACGTGTTTTCGTGCGAATAAACGTGAGAATAAAACGGCGTGTAACCGAGAATCCGGGTAAAAAAGAGATTCAATCAACTTTTTAAAGAACCCGAGAAAATCAGCCGCATTCCCGAGGAAATTGCACCATCGTCGCGTTAAATTCACAATCTTTAAATAGCGCAAAATGGCAAAATATATGCGAAGTGGAAGAAAGGCCCGGGAATTTTCTAGAATCACAAGCGGGATGAAGAAAATCCGACGAAGACGAAGAGAGAGAAGAAGATTCCGATATCGATAGTGTAGCCCGATGCACAGCGGGTTTGATCGGTGTACCGTAAAGAAGACGGCAGCGATAAACAGAGAAATAAACGAATGGTGTACTTATCTGGGAAATAACGAGAATTGTTACGACAAGAAGATGTTGCCCTATCGGATTTGATTTACTTAACGAAGCTCACTTCCTTTCAACAATTGCTCACGCTTGACCTCGTTCTTTTATTTTTCTTTATTTCCGCGCGATCCCGTCCCCTTTTTTAGATCTCTCCTCGCCCACTACGCTCTTGATCGCGTGTATTTGCGTCTGACGGTCTGATCTCGAGTCCTCGGTCGCGTAAAATTGCATCTGGTTTTGTCTCCGTCCTCTCGGAAAGACGATTTTTCCATGTCTTCCTCCATGTCCTCCCTCCACCCAACCCTTTCTTTCTTTTTCTTTCTCTTTCTCTCTCTCTCTCTCTCTCTCGTTCTCTCTCTTTCTCCGCGAAATTTACGGTAAATGCTATTTTCAGGAGGCTATTTTTTTCTTTTCACTTTGATCGTTGCGCCGCGCAATTTCCAAAGTAGAAACCAGAGAACGGCGATTGCCGGCCGCGGAGAGAACTTTCCTGCCACTGCGCGGGAATTTCGCACGATACGCCGCTTCTCGTTCCTTAATTCGCCATAAATATTCCCGTCCATTTTATTCCACGCCGTTATAAGGATATTAACGAAACCACATTCGTATAATCGCTTTAGGCGGGCTTACGACCGCTAAAATATACACTGCATTAGCAACAGCGACAACTGCGCACCATGCTCGGCGTATAGCGGGAGAACCGGCTCATAAATTTTTCGCTAAAAACCAGAAGGAAGCGCGAGCGTCTCATTATCCTCCTGACCGCTATCGCGGCAAGATCGGTCTTCACACATACTTCATCGTATCCTTTTTGAAATATTGTCTGCAGAATTTTTTTATCTTTGTGGCTGAGTGCGCGAGCCTGAACTTTGCCGATTACGGAGATCTCCCGGGTACTCGTTTCAAATAAACTATTTTCTTTTTCTAAAACGTGTATCATTCTGTATAAAAATACCGAAATTTCTTTGCACAAGCCGCCAGGACTGCCGGCAGGAATTTTAATTTTCATGAAGGTTCGCGCGAGAGCGGTATTTGCAATGAATAAATTGTTATAATTTGTGATATTTTTTGTAGTACATATCCGATTGCGGATTTCCGGAACATAATCACGAGCACTTCTCTCGCAGCCAGATTTGTTTCACCTGTAATATCGCTTAAGGTACAGCGGAGCTGTTTTAGGCGGAATAACCAAAGTCGTGTTGTTTCACGGTACTTCGAACGGTTAGTAGGATTAATAGTCTGTGAGTATCCGCGATTATACACACAGTATATTTAGGAACGTGGATCGTGCAGCGAACTTACTCATGCGACGTAATCGCCGCACCATTGTGATACCTGGTAGAGATTAATTAGGTTGATCAGTGGCAGCGCTTAATTACTCGGAACCCGATTACTACCATTCCGTCTGGAGTCCTTTCGAGTGCGCGCAGCCGGTACGATTCACAACGTCTGCAAATTTGCACGTTCCAAGACGCGGGACACGCCATTGTCACGGGCACATAATCGTCAAGGGACGGCCATAACGCCGTTATAATTGGACCATAAAATTATCCTGCGATCGATGTTCGCGGGAATATGAAAAATTCTTGCGCGGCGTTTCCCGCTGAATTATCACGGCCGTGTTGAATTATTACACTCGCTGCTAGTCAGGCGATCGCGCCGATGATAATGCAAAATGATATTGGAATTCCGACAACAGGAGAGATCTGTTTAGACACGTTGAAAAACGTACAATTAATAAATAGACGAATAAGAGAAGCGCGAAAGAATCAGAAGCGCGGAGAATGAACGATGACGTGCAAGGGAAAAGGAATTAGCTGTTCATATGATACAACTGAAATTTAATTATAAGATTTAGTTTTTAGCTGTGATACACGGAGAAAAAGGTTTCTTTAAAATTTTATCGTCTCAATCAAGAAAATTCTATTATTTAACGGAAAAAACGCTATCATTCGAAATAACATCTTTCAACCAAATAAAATATTATTTAAAATTATCTTTCGTTTCAAACAAATTTTTTATTTAAGATAAAAATCATTCTTTTATTTAAGATAAAGATACATATTTGCGGAAAAGTCTAACAATCGTACTTATTAATCGAAACATCAGTTTCTTTGGAGCATGCCAATGATGAGATTTGTTTGGATGCAATAAAATTGATTAAATTTCAAGAAATCTTCTTCTCGGTGTAATTAAATTTCAGTTGTATCATATGGACAGCTAATTTTTACCCGTGGCAGCTAGTTTTAAGTTAGTTTCGAGCTTCTCTTTTCTCCCGCGTACGCCCGATTAGCCGATTGAAAATCCACAACTTGCGAATTTTGCGAGATTTCGCATCGTTTTATCGATAAAGAAATAAATCGAGAAATTGTGATTCTGTGACTCGCTGCACCGAGCCTTTCCGCCGCCGGATTCAACGCGACTCCTTTCGCGAAGGTGGCGACGGATTCAAGAAGCGCGGAAGTTGACCGGAAAGTTTTGCTCCCCGCAATTTTTTGTAAGATTGGACTCGCCCCAGTAATCTCTTCGCGCGGAATTCTTCGTCGCATACTAATCGCCTAATTTAAACGGCAGATGGCGCCTTAACATCGACTTTTCTTGCTTGATTGCGCAATTAGTTTCGTCTCAGCTTGTTAACGCGGTCGCGGCTGCTCGCGCGGACGCCGCGCGATTTCATATCATAATTACTATCGCTTAATCGTTATTATGGCTGCGATAACTGTTACACTAACGCGGAATTAAGGTAATCACGGTGCGGTCTAACGAAACGACGCAATTGCGTGTATGCGCGTATATGCTATATGTAGACACCGTCCTAATGTAGAAGTTCCGTTTTTATCAATTTCGCGATAATTGTGAACTTTCACGTGGCTACGTGGGAATGCTTTAATTGATCGAATTTTAACAGTTTAAGAATAATTTCGCAATAATTGGAAATTTCGAATTCCGACAGCGCGATTGTAATTCGGGGCACGTCATTTTACTGTCATTAATGCACAAAGATAGGCCAGCATTTCCATTTCGCAGACCGTGAAAATAAGGCAATTATACTATGGTCTCATTTATTATAATGCTGCGATAATTACGACACAATTAAATCCGCTTCGATGATTATCCGATAATTACTTGACCGGACTGTCTGATATTGCAATGAAGTACGTTTTAATAAAAGGTTTTTACATTAATATATGCGATATTATCAAGATGAATCTCTCTTTTTATTAAACAAATTGTCAATGTACCACGAGTACTTAAAAAAAAGCCGTATGCAATTCCTCTCGTAGTTTTCATACACACACACGTCAATTTTATATAGAATTTATCACAATTTATATAAAATCGCCTCGCATCTTTGTAAAGGACACCTTATTACTACCATTAGAGAATAATTCTGCAAAACACGTGATGTAATTCGTTGAATACGTTGAAACGAGCGGGGAACGCGCGCCGCAATAATTGTCCTGATATTAAACATAATATGTCAACTGTCTCAAGCTCGACGCTCACCTTCTCGCCATACTCGCCTTCCACCGCGACCGTAGAAACGTATTTCCAGCCGAGTAGATGGATCACCTCGACGATCGCCTGCGCTTGAAAATTGTCCGGCGGCACTACCCTGCTAAAGTACTCGAAGCGGCTCTTGTCCGAAAGCTCCGTGCTGGTGGACGCGTAGCTCATTTGAGGTATCTGTAGTGAGAAAAGAAGAAAGTCAATTAGAAAGAAAATCGTATAATTTACGCGTATATATGCGTAAAACCAAATAATCTCTAGTTCGTTTCAAGCGTAAAAAAATTGAGAATGCTTACATTTATAATTTACGTATATATATTGAATCAGTCAAATTGATTTTTTAGATAAATTTGACTTTATTATTTTTTTTATATCGCACGTCTATCTATCTACGTATAGATCGCAAAATCTAACTACAGTTTTGATATCGATGGCGCGAAATTTCTGGAAATCACATTTCGCGCATCATGGGAGCATCCATTTCAAGTGTAAACTACTTAAAACGCCATGAAAAGAGGATACGCGCACGTGAGGGTTAATGTCCTCCACCATTCGAAGCGCGACCCTGTTTCTCCGTCGCGGATGCGAAGAGAGCTCGTAACTTTACAGCATCTGTGCAAGGCACAGCATCCCTCCGAATCTAATAATCTCGAGTCTGTTGAAAGTGACTAAGTCGCTCTCTCTCTCTTTCTCTAAATATCTATCTATCTGACCATCTCCCTCTCTCTTCCTCTCTACCACTCAGGCTTTCTTCAGGCTGCAACGTAATTCCATTTTTGCACAAAGACCTTCGCCGAGATCTTCCCGTTGATAGCGTTGTTGCTTAACGGATGTTATTGGCGTTATCGCGCATCCTTATTGCTGGCACGTGTATGAACAGACACAGGCGCGAAGACCGACAATAGCAGGCGAAAGCCGCATCATATCATCGCTTTCCGTATTGATTTGCATACGTTTGTTTGGCGCCTGACGTGCGAGACCGTCGACGTGATCTAAATTACGAACTACGAGTGATCGATGGAGACTTTATTACAGGTCGCAGGACGTCACGGCACGACAATCACGAAAATGCCGGGGAAAAGAAAAGGGACGAAGAAGCGGAGGTTTGACGATCGAGTTCTTGCGCTCATCCATATCCGAATCCGAAGCGAGGCTTGAATGAGAGTTCGCCGTAATAATTAGAACGATATCATAATTTTGCCTCATTATCAATGATCAGTCTATATCGTGCGACGTCGCAGATAATAATAGCGTATTAAATAACTACATTTATAATAATGTTAGTTACTTGATCAATTGCGGCACGATAATATGATTTGTAGGAAATGTGATTAATATAAATGACTGCGTCGGATATATGCCGAAGAAGGGTGACAGCATTAATTCGCGTGACAAGCGTCGTTTTATGCTTCCCGTGATACATTTATAATCTTGTCCATAATTTCTCGACTGTCTGCAAAACGCGGCCAACTGGGATTAATTAACTAATTGTCAATTGGAAGCGGGGAGAGAGAGAGAAAGAGAAGAAGAGAATCTGAACCATCACACTCGAGCGTAACAGAAAACAATAATGATTGCTAACTCTCGCTGCATATCTGGCGTTGGAGGTAATAGTTGTTTAACATTCTTTTTATTAATTTTCCTTTTTTGTTAATTTGCAATTTCATCCACCGAGATGAGAGTACAACGGAAAGCCTTCGCCTCGAGATTTGAATGCACCGACATGGCATGAAGGATATCTCGCCGAGAGAAGGTGCGTAGCGCGAAGATAATTGCTCATTAGAATGTCTTAATTGGGAAGCCGAAATCGATGTACGCGATCCGCTGCAACAGATACCTTAATTAGCAATCCGTGGCAATTAGATACCCACTCGATAGACTTGGTGTCTCGTTTTGTGAGCCATTTGGCACGTCATTTCCACGAAACGGTGATTTCCATAATTTCCATAATGAAAATCGATTTCCTTAAATGCGCAGTCGAAAACTCGCGGCATGGCTCAAATAGTTCGTCTACGAATATTTCTTATTCTACTATCTGTCCCCTTCGAATTACGGTATTAAATGCATTTTCAAATGAAAAGAGGAGATATTTAGGTAAAAACGATATTCATAAAATAGCCGGAAACGATCGCTAAGTGGCGTAATGGGAACATGGAAATTGCATACGGGCACAAGAGTGACACAAGTTCATTAATAAATAGTTATACGGCTTCCATTTCGAGGAAAACGAGCTCATTCGACAACCGTTTCCACGCACGCTCTAACAAAGATGCGGTCAATTATATGTTGCGGCCAGGCTCAAGCTTAAACCAACAATTACACACGAGTGTGGCTCATAATTGTATGGAAATTATTCATTAACTTCTCTCGGGGACAATTTGCCGTTAAATTGATTTTGGAATCAATTAACGTTTTGTCTCTTCGTCTCACTATGGCCGTCGTATTTGTGTCACGGCCAAAACTCAAAGCAGAAATATCTGTCCAACCGGCCTGACAAATGGCAAGTTATCACGTTTCAATTTCCAGAAATACATAACTGTCAAGATCAATTTTTAAATATTACATCATTCAAATATCACACGTGAGAAAGAGAGAGAGAGAGAGAGATTTAATTATTGAATTATTTTTGCAAATATTGTGATTTTAAATTATCAATTAAGTACATTATCTATTATTAAATAAACACATATAATATCATATTATATGATATTTATATAAGAAAAAAGAAGGAATATTCATATATCTTTCTTCTCGTAAGATTTATGCTCTGCATAAATTTTTCCAGATCCTGTTCAAGACGTCTTTTTATTCTCTAACGAAATTATTATTAATAATCCCCGGTGCGCCTCTTTCTCGGGCGATTTTCAATATTCCCGATGCGGCGATGCGGTAAACGGCTCGTTGCAATTCTGATCAGCGTAGTTGCAATTCGGGGCGCGACGAACAGTTTGCTGCCGGAATCAATCTGAACACCTTAAAGCTGACCGGCGAAGAAACGAATCGAAATGAATAAATTAATGACAGCCGGTCGAATAAAAAAGGGCGTTTAATGAAAGGTCGCCAATTGGCTGCCAATTTCGCCCTTAATTGCGCATTGTTCGGCATCAGTGCACCGAACGATAATACAGAATGGTAGACCGTGGCCTTGCGCAAGATCGAACGGTATTTACGAGACGAAATAATTCGAAGTTCATAAAAAAAAAAAAGTAAACAAGAGAAAAGATAAACTAAATCGGAAAGATGCACCGCTATCACGCTTGATGCATAAAATTGTCGAGACTGTCGAAGTTCGTGCGTTTGTTTAAATCAATATTAAAAGTTAATTTTTCAAAAAATTAAGTTTCTGTACTGTTTCGCGAATTTTATGAAAATGATTCATAAGCGCGAGGAAGTCCAAGGCATTTGCTTGGAAATCCCTAACATTACAGTGAAATGCCGCGTTAATGTTTCTTACCGTTTAATTGCTCGAATTAACCTCGAAGAAGAGACTTGTACTTTGTTACATCGGTGAACTCTTAAATTTGCCCTTTACCACGAGCAGTTGACGTAACGCGAATATGTACGAGGCGCAAAGGGTTAATTGCGTCCTACGGCGCACAAAGGAAGAGCATCGCATAACGATCGAGTGCAACGAGCGGCTTCATACCGGCAATCCTAATGAACGAGTTACGTTTGCTATGTAAATTGAATGCAACGTGCGCAAGAATCTACGATGTGGCATTAACCCGAGTTGAAAAACATATAAAATAACACGGTTATTTTCCGTGGGCGTCCGAACGGTCGAAATTTTTCATCCGTCGTTGTGAAATGAGTGCGAATTATTTTACTTTCTCTCGCTATTTATTAATGCGTGCTTCTTTCTGGCGAACGTTGCCAGTTAACGTAAGGTTTCGATAAGTGAATTTGAAAGACTAACCCAACAGGAATATAGCTCGAATGCCCTTTGGAGGTTCGCAGTATTATCTTTGCATCCCCGAGAGTTTTTCTTACATTAATGCCGGTTCAGAGGAATCCAACGGAATAAACTCGAAAGAACGAAGGCGACTTTATTCTGGTAAATAGCACGTGAAGAGATTTTAATGGAAATGTTGGAATGCACCGTTGAATTGGATGTTATATATATATATATATATATTTTTGGCTTGGCACCTTCATTTACGTCAATTTCTTTGAGCGAAGTCGCAAAGTGGCGAACGAAATCGCAGAGCGAAATCTATCGCGGATGCCTGTCTTCCTTTCGCGGATGGAAACGCGCCGGTGGAAAGTGAACTGAAAGGGGCATTTGGCTTCCGCCGATAAACAGAGTGGGAAGTAGTTTTCAAATTCAAGTGGGTCGTTATAAAATAATGAGGATGGGCGCGATAAAAGTGTACGTGCAATAAAATGCAGGGTGGCTCTCAGAGCCACAGCTCGTTCACGTGCAACGGTGCATTTCACGTCTTCTTATCCGATATCTTTTCATCTGCATTGATAGGTCCCGCGAGTTTAATCCGCGTACGCGACGAGCATTGAAAATCCCGAACTCTCGTCATATAGAATACACTACTTCCGTTTGTGAATTTCATCGCGTATAACGTTAGCCGGCAGATGTAAAATACATCTTGGAAATCGCTTCAAAAGCGTACGTAAAAGTACCGACATGTTTAAATAATATTTCCTTGTGAAAAAGGAATATGCATCTATTGTAACATCAAAATATTAAAAAAATAGATCTTCCAAATTATTCAATATAGATTCATTTGTAAGAGAACATACGAAGAAATCCAATTACTATTTTTTTTTTTTTACAAAACGTATGTAACGTGAAATAAGAAATGTTAGAATTTCAGATTGTTTTATACAGAGATTATCCCTTCTCCATATATTAGAGATCTAAAGATTTGATCATTTGTTAACCCAGCTGTTCGTCTATTTGCCCCGAAATCGTTTTTATTCCCTTGTTATATTATTATGTGATTTTATGTGATTTGTGTGTTCTGGCATTTCACGATTTTGTTTCGTAACTCAATTAATTTGATGCCAAATTAAACAAAATAAACGACATATAAAAATGTAACAGGGAAATAAAAGTGATTTCGAGCCAAACAGAATCCGAACAGAAGAGCAGGGCTAATATAGTTAAATCTAATCGATTATTATTCTATTCGGGCGACGGAATGGAACTGTATTCAAAATTGAATGGCGGACTGTGGATTTGGGTTATCCGGGAGAAATCTGCGAGATATAATCGTTTGCATTTCGACAGGATCCGCGACATTCCGCGAGAGATCCATTCACGCATTCGACGTCGACGGCGGATCGATGAAGCGTCTCGACGACGACGACGACGACAGGAGCTTCTTTAGCAAGCCGATTTCGCGCGGATCACCGGGTTCCTTTTCAACGAGTTCGTGTTGCACGACGTCTTTTGAAGGCGCCTTGAGAGCCGTGGTCCTATCCCGAAGTCTGATAGGAACGGGAACGGCGTCGCAGAAGAGTGGCTCTTCCCGAGGGTCGTCATGGATGAATGACTATGATTGATAGTTGTGTCGACGTTGCGTCATCGTCGTTACCGGTCACGAAGTTTCAGCAGTGTGCCTTCCTGTTTTACGAAAAAATCAACGAAATTTCTCGTTCCTCCTTATCGTCGTTGTCGTCGTCTTCGTCGTCTCTCGCTTTCTCGTTTTTCACGTTTCTCTCTCTCTCTCTCTTTCTCTCTCTCCCTCTCTCTCACTATCTCTCTCTTTCTCACCCTTTGTAGCCTCTGTATCAAAGGAAGCTACGTTTTCACACGTCCTGCAAAGACCTGCCGATACCCGGCCATGCTTTACACGATGTTACCTTCCTCGAAACGGCTATTTTTCGCTTTTCAATCGCGATCGACGCGCGTGGCATGACAACGTCTCGAATCGTCCGCATAAAGACCGAAATGAATAGGGAAACTTTTAGAAAACTCTTCCATTAAATTCTTTCGTATTTCTCGCCCCGCACGGGGTAACCCAATTCGTTATGTGTGTAACAATCAAAGTTGCCGACGTGATGCGCATAGCCAAATTGTTTTCGCGACATGTTCCCTATTGATAATATTTTTACGTGAGAATTACATCACCGAAACGTTGTTATCTATAGATATGTGAACGAAAAGCGATCGCGATTATATTTATGCTGTATGCTTCTTCCCTTTCTCTTTTTTCTAATACTCTCGATAATTTAACTTGAAATTTAATTTAAATTGAAATTATTATGCTGTATTTTCAATTACGTCACAAATTAATATCATATTAAATATTTAGAAATATATATATATATATATATATATTTCTGTGCGCGTGCGTCCATCACTACAAAACATACGTTGCTGCACGGCGTAGGTAAGTAGTTTCGTAATATTAGAAATACTTGGGCTCTAGTATAATGTTTAAGCTTTCATTTAAGACCGTGTGCAAGTTTCTAGCACGTCAGGTTTGTCCGCTACGATTTTTCCAAAATTGCCAAAAATGCGTTTTTTAAGATTTTCAACCCTACTTTTCCTTGAAAGCGTTACATGATAGGCAAATGCTGAGGGCAGCATCGTTTCCAGCGACCAAAAACCTACGGGAAACCACTCTCCTTTTTCAGGAAACTTTTAGGATGTCGGCCAGCGTAATTAAGGTTAATTATTGCCCGCATAATAATAAATTTAATTTTCATAAATTTCGATTAATTAAATCAATGACTTCATTAAGTTTTTGTGATAAATTATTTCGAAAAATTGAAATAATCCGATTGACAAAAACATATTCCGTTGGGGAGGAGGAGGGGTGAAAGGGTAGACAAGTTGAGTTTTGCGAAGCAAAGCGCTACTGGAGATACGCACAAGAACGTCAGTCTTTCTATCGATTTACCGTCCATTCGCCTGGTACATACAAAACGGTCGATGACTTGGATACTTACTCTGAAAAGCCGCAAGATATTGGCGACCATGATGGAGACCACGCTGAACGCAGCGCCTATCACGCCGGTGACCGGTTTGTAAGGAACGTAGGTGGGCGTCTTGCCGTTCTCGCACTTGTATTCCGATATGTCCTGAAATCAAAAAGAGAGAGAAAATAGACGCATGACAAGAAACAAGTACCTTCCGTCGGTCACGCTGACACAATTCTGGGGTAATCTCGTAATTGGGAGGAGCATCAATTTCTTTCCGACATTGTTCTGTCCGCGCGAGTGGCACGAAATTGCAGTTGCAAATGGAGTACTCGCGCTCCTTATTCTCCTCCTCCAACCGTGGCGCCGTTTAATTACTAGAATATTATTCTAGATTTCGCAACATCCCTTTGCCGGGACCGCTTAATGGAAAATGCACGCCGTTGAATTTCCATGCGTTTCCCCTCGCTCGCGGGGGCGAATTCTCGTCTCTCTTCTCACGAATTCACGGCTGCACGAATTCTCGGGTGTCGCGACGGGTGAAATTTGGCGGCGAAGTCGCGACGCGAATTCGTTTCGTCGCTCGCAACTCGGTCACGCTCGTTAGACGCTTTCCATGGAAGCACGTTGGGGGCGGCGTTACGCTCCGCGGCGGATTCGCAATTAAGGAATCGGATGTAATTTCAATTCGGCGCGGTAGCGCATTTGCCGTTACTGCGTGCGTCCCGTTCGGACAATTGCGCGATTGCACTTCTACCCGCTCTACTCGGCGGTGAACGGCGAAAGAGTACTCGATAAACAAACAATTACGAGCCATCCGCTAATAGAATTTTTAATAGAATGAATTCCGCGCGTCCCGGCTTTACAACCGTGTTCGGTAATGACGATTTTCGCATTTTGCGTCAAGCCATTTTCTTTTTTAAACCAGACGAGATAAAAACAATCGAAAGCCTCGTTCAAAGTTTCAGTTAATCGAGAAATTACTCATGTACATTTCTATTCATTTGTAACACATTTTTTTTACGACGTGCATGATCTCATATATGTATATGCTCTTCAAAGATCTTTTTGTGTTTACGAAAAATGACAAGCGATAACCTCGAAAATGAGATAAAATGCCGAAGGTAACGTCATATTCACGTATATTTCGACTGGAGAGTGTCATCATATTTGATGGATTTACTAAAAACCATCGTTCAAACATTCAACGAAGCAATTATAAGCCACTCGTGCCACGCTTAAGAAGTCATGCGACATTATAAATTTACCGTATGTCCACCATATAAGTGCTTCAACGGCTAATTTAGTTTTGCCCCGCTGTCCGCTGAGAATTATTAATTAAACATTCAGGTGTATACGTATAAGGTTTATAAAGTATAAATATGTCTTGCGATGTTCGCACGAATGAGGCAAGCTTATCCCGAAATTTCATTGTGGAAATACACGAGCAATTGTCTCCATGACTCGTCAAAGACTTAGCACAAACATTAGACATGGATCGTTGTTAAGAGAAGCCCATCGCCTGTCATAATTGCAGCGGTGCTGTACACATAATTATTAAGTACGACACGAGAGTCTAAGGGGGATTGTCATCGGCACGCATTGGCGTGCCGAAACAACAAGCGCCTGTTCGGCAATGCTTTCGGAACCAATTATATTCCCCGCTGGGTGTAAGCCCTCTGAACGGACGGCACTTGATCGACTCGGTCGCTGTTCAGCGTCGACAGAAACTCCCGTTGACGCTTCAGCGACGGAGATCGTCTCGCTCCTTCCTTCATAATCTTACGGTTAATCCTTTAAACGTAGCGGAATATCCGGTTTAGCGGTCGTTTAGCGTGAAACGCGCTAAATATATCGAGCCGCTTGATTTTTAAGCCACGCGCGGAAATTATGTATTCGCGTGAACCGAGGGATCAGCCATGAGGCTGGGGAAAGAAAGCTACGAGCTTAGTTCGATCAATTTTGTGTCACGAGAGCTTGAAGGATTAATTTGAAAATCTTGTTATCGAGCCGCAAGTATCACAATCGGCTTACCTTGCTTATGTTTTTTTATCATTTCCATCGGATATCTATGAAACGAGGTGGAAAGAGGGAGAGAAGGAGAGGGAGAAGGATATATATATATATATATAAATATATACATTCGTCTCCACTATTTCTCAATCTTCGTCTCTTTATTTTAGTGGATAGATATTTTAACCTTCGACACATCATCAGAATCCATTGGACCATTAAATCGAATTTTAGTTTCCGAGTTTCTTTTTTGAGTTCTAACGGTGTATGTCTAAAGATTGATGTTTTCATGCTTTTTATTCTTTCTTCGAAGTCTTTGAAAGAACGACAAAGGAAACGTTTACTTATCTTCTTTTCTTTAAATAGGACAAATGAATTTCTGAATTAACTCTCTGTTATCCAATAGATACACGAAAAACAAGAATTAGCTCTCGCAGTTACAGTTAAAAATTAGCTCTTACGGCTAAAAAATAACAGGTAAAAATTAGCCATAAATACATATAACATAATTGAGATTTAGTTAATTTAGTTAATTTTTTGCTCCCATAGCTAAAAACTAGATCTGGTAACTAAATTTCATTTGTATGTGCGAACAGCTAATTCCTTTTCCCCGTGTGCCATCCTAATATTTGACCATTTGTTCTTCATTGCTTTTCATGTATTTTAGTACCTGGTCCGTTAGCCAAGTGCTTATGAAAGAACAATTGTTTCAAGAAGCGGTGGAAAATAATGGGGAAAATTAGCGTGTCTGTGAGATACATTACAATCATTTACGGATGAGAAATATTGTGACTAACGTTGCGCGACGTGCAAATTCGCAGTCGCGAATACCAGCGCAATTCCGCGGCGGGAATCCGCGTAACGATTAAATTCGATTGATTTTCGAGGTTTGCGTACCAACGATTTATATTTACGATGAAATTTCACGGATTCAACGTACGAGCCCGACCGACGTGGAGCAGCGCGTGCAGTTACGGACACGATTTTATCGTGCATCCGCAAGCGCGCTTGCAGAGAGAGACGCCTGTTCGCGGAGCTTTTGGCGAAAGTCCCGAGGATCCTTGGCATGCGCGCGCGCGCGGGGTGATTTAAATATGATGCAGCGAACGTCACACAGATGCGTGTGTTGTATTTCTATGAGAACGCTTCTGCATAAATCCTTTGAATGCATCGCGCCGACGCTTCAGGTTATTCAAATATATCGCGTGTGTCTATGGCCGGCTCATGACATATTAATGCAGCTTTTTTTTTTCGATGCAACTTCCCGCGTGCGTCCGTACGTGCGCGTGTGTGCTCGGATATGTGTGTGTGTGTGTGTGTGTGTGTGTCAGTCCGCGTTAGCGCAGTGACAAGCATTAAGTAACGCAAAATATCGTGACTGAAAGAAACGGAAGAAAAGCAGTGCATTTATGAATATATTACGTGCGCTGCAAACGTGTTCCATTACGCGCTATGAATAAGTACATATTTTGCCGTGCAATTTATTACCAATTATTTATGACTTGTGTAATATTTATGATTTATGTGATGATTTATGTAGTAATATGAGAGAGAGAGAGAGAGAGAGAGAGCACAACACGGTTACAGTCCATTCGAAAAATTCCTTCACAGACTCGGATGTATTTCGTGTCGTCCAAAAGTAGAAGAAAATTATGGCGCGCGAGACGACACGGGTTTCATTCTTTATGTTTCGTCTAGCGGGGTCTATTGCTAACAACTGAGCCAATGGTGCGTGTTGCGATGATTATTCGTTATATAGATTGGCATGACAGATATAGATATAGTCCTATTCGAAATATTGTAATTATTTCGGCAGAAAGATTCGCGTTATTAATTCTCTCTAAACAGTATAAAATTTACACAAAGGTAATATGGATACAAAGGTAGACAGAAAAACTATAATTCATATATATGTGAATATATATATATATATATCTCTTCTGTAGCGCCGACCTTTCAACACGTCACAAAAGAAACTTGAACATATTTAATTATCCACATTAAACGTCCGAATACGTACAAACATACAGCGAAAGATTTTACGTACTCATGATTACCGTTGATATCGTAAAGCATCTATCGGTTCCTAAGCGCGCAATTTACGATTAAACATTATCCATTAATCTGAATCGTTTGGGGTATCAGTTATGGCCGACATGATGAACGAGCTGTAAGATACAGAGGAGCTATCAGTCGGCAAAAACGTGATGGCTCTTGAATCATGGCATCGGTCCAAAGTGTTCGGTATCCTGAGAGTGAGTTTTAAAAGAGGCCGAAAACCAGAAGAAGCTGAAGATTTCGTACCTACAAATCCGTAGATCTCCGTTAAAGGTGGTGGTGTGTTTCCCCTGGCAAGATAACGCCTCGCGCGTTCGTACGTTAGAAATAAATCCAAACACCGGACACGGATATGCATTATTCACGCCGAGGGGATGCATTGAATCCGGGCCGGGAAACAGAAAAGACGAATTCGACCGACCGATGGCTATAAATTAAACGCATTCGCAATATATCGGCAACGAGTTTCCGACGGATCCCGTGTGGGTGACTTTTGCGTAGACGCGATTTTTCAGAACGAAGAGATAGATCTTTGAAATCAAATAAGCAGACCCCTTTGTCCCGGAGGAAATAACACGATGATATTCTAAGTCAGAAAAGTAATTCCCACACCTCAATGAATTGTGAATGTTATACATGCACCTTAACGTTATGAGTATTTGGCGTGCAAAATTTCGAAATATATAGTGCGGAAAAAAAATATATTTATATATAGTATCAGTACACGTTTTATACGAAAAGACATTTTCATTCTGTTATAAAAGATACCAATGTTTATAAATTTTGAAAGAGGCGGCTTCATTGAAGTAGATAAATATACATGAAATGAATTTTGAAATCTGAAGATTCTTTTTTTTTAAGAATGCAGTAATATATTGGCTCAGTAAAAAATTGTGACAAGCAATTGCCCTTGCTTCTCGTTCAGGCACCACGCTCCTGGGAACAGTTATCACGTGAGAATCGTAAATCATGAAGTATCCAGTGAGAGTCGTAGATTTTTAATTTCGTACCTACAAATCTAATTAAGATAAATTAATTAAGATAAATGGGCTCGATTTAATTTTCTATGATTTCTTCCGAGGCAAACGTTG